CATTGTACAGTGGCATTATATGCCGTAATGTGCACCTCTGTCTACTCCTTCGGGGATAAAAAGGCGTGATGTTATGTTATGTTCACGGTTTACTTAGTGGTGTCAAACATAATAACTGGTGAAAAATTAGTTTTCTAAAATTTTAGCGTTTTTCGCGAAGCGGTAAAGAGTGAAATTCCTTGTCAGAGTCTGTGTTTCTTGAAGGGTACAACCTGGGTGTCTTCAAGTTTCGAGTGAATATTTATTATTAGGCGTGTTCTGTTGTGGGACGTATCGTCACTTATCACCAGGCGAGATAGTGGACAAATGCGGACCTTTTAAGTATTAGCTTACTAGCTTCTGCCAGCGGCGTCACCTATTTTTTGTCTGTGTTCCAAATTTTATGCCGGTCCTTTCAGTCGTTCTAGCGTGATTAAATAACAAACATCACACAAGTTCACAAACGTTTGCATATACAACATGAGTAAGACAACATGGCAGTAGTTACCAGCCAGTAGCAGCGTGGCGAGTCTGTGCGCGACGTGCGCGTGCGCCAGCCCGGCCGCCGCCGCCGCCGCGCATGCGCACGACCAGCCCCCGCCGCACGACGCGCACCACTCGTCTGTAAGGCAGCCAGCCAGTCAGTCGGTCAGTCGGTCAGACGGCGCCGGGAGCTGCGGCTCGTACTTCTTACATGTATGTACATCACTAATTAGTAAGCAGTCGCCCCCTGACTATAATGTGTTATATAAGGTAGGACACTCGTCATTAACGTTGCTGTCTACCTGTCATAGTCTGGTGTGTGTACACGTCGTGCGCCCTGCACATTATTGTAATAAATCCGAGTACAATTCATGGATCCACCGACATTACTGACCGAAGTCGTCGGGCGAGGCCGGGCGGGGCGCGCGGCGCGGCGCGAGCTGGGCCAGCGAGTCCAGCGCCGCGTCCACGTGCCAGGCGGCGCGCCGCGACCCCAGCACGCGGCCCACCGCGCCAGACACCTGCCGGGACGTGACAAGCGGACTGGATATTTCAACGATATACTGGGTGGAACTTATAATGCCATCTGAAGGGAAAGTACTCTTAATACTTAAGATAAAAAAATTTACTCAAACAAAACATCCCCTTATTTTTTAAAAGAAACAAAACTGCATCTATATATGCGATATCAACACCAATCTCCTTTCCCACGAATCCCCACGTTCCCGTAAACTCCTTCACATAATTGAGTCGACAAATCTACACGTGTTACCCCTTAACGCTACTCACCACAATACTGTTGGCGATGACTCCTGGCTTGACCTTATCCTCACCTCCAATCCCTCTCTTGTGTCTTGCCATGGTCAGCACGAAGCTCCGGGTTTCTCACATCATGACATGATTTTTCTATCCTATATCCTTAAACCGCCCAAGGTGAAGCCCAGGGTCTTGTATAGGCGTTGTTTTGGACGGGTGGACGAGGCAAGATTGGAGGAGGATGCGTCGTTGATCGACTGGGAGCCCTTGATGGACGCCATTGCGGTTGATGATAAAGTTGCAATCCTTAACTCAAACATTATTAACCTTTACAATCGTCACGCTCCAATCAGGAAAATAAAGGTCAAGCGGCTCCCTGCACCGTGGATGACCCAGGGGATTAGGATGGCCATGCGGCGCAGAGATCGGGCGTTCCGTAAACACAGGAGGGATCGCACTGAGGAAAACTGGGCAGCCTTCAAGTTTGCAAAAACCAGGTGTAACCAGATGGTACGTAACGCCAAACGCCGCCATATTCTCGAAAACATTTCATCTTCTTCTCCTGCCGATATCTGGAAATTCCTCGGAACTCTAGATATCGGTAAGACGCAATATTCAGACCTTCCCTGTACAGTTTGTCTAGATAGTCTTAACGACCACTTCACAACAATACCTACCATGGACCCTCTAGTCAAACGTAACACTCTTGCCTTTATCTCTGGCCTGACGCGTCCATCTATCACTAATCCTTTCCGCTTCGCTCCAGTTGACTCGACTGAGGTTGGAAGGATCATCCTCTCAATCAAATCCAAAGCGGTAGGTTGTGACAACATCTCTCGATACATGATTGTTACCATTCTAGATCACCTCCTACCAACGATAACCCATGTCATCAACTTTTCCCTTTATTCCGGTACTTTCCCTTCCCTCTGGGTAGAGCCTTTGTCCGTCCGCTCCCTAAAGCCTCTGCTCCCACCCTTCCCTCTCAATTCCGTCCAATATCCATACTCCCTTTCCTGTCCAAGGTGCTCGAGGCCTGTGTTCATAAACAACTTTCAAATTATATATATCGAAATTCACTAATTAGTCCTCTACAATCTGGTTTCAGACCTGGCCACAGCACTACTTCCGCCCTCCTTAAAGTGACTGGCGATATTAGAACCGGCTTTGAGGATGCTAAAGCCACAGTCCTGGTTTTGGTTGACTTCTCGAATGCCTTCAATATGGTCAGTCACGACATCCTGTTGGCTATCCTATCCCACCTTATGGTCTCTGGCGAGTCACTGGAGTGGTTCTCTTCTTATCTTCGGGAGCGTCAGCAGGCGGTCAAGCACGGTGATAATTCATCTAACTGGCGCGAATTAAAGGCTGGCGTTCCTCAAGGCGGTATACTGTCACCTCTCTTATTTTCCATCTTTATTAATCTCATCACTTCCGAGCTTCGGTGTGCGTACCATCTATATGCGGATGACTTGAACCTTTATTTTTTTTTATACCACGACGGTGGCAAAAAAGCACACGGCCCACCTGATGGTAAGCGGTTACCGTGGCCTATGTACGCCTGCAACACTTGGGGCATTACATGCGTCTTGCCGACCCTTAAAAAACCTTTTCACCGCCCTCTTGAAGAACCTCATGTTGTAAAAGCAAGCAATCAAGCTTTACTGTCCGACCAGCTTTGACAACTTGCCGGATGCCATCTCAAAAATTAACAACGACTTATCCGCTATTAATGATTGGTCGGTAAGGTTCGGCATTGCGGTAAACCCTAAGAAGTGTCAAGCGATAGTGATAGGAAGCTCTCGTTCTCTGGGTAAAGTTGACGTTGCATCTCTACCTGCTGTCCTTTTCGACGGTGCGATCGTTCCGTTTACTAGTGACGTCAAGGACCTCGGTTTACATATTGACAGCAATCTTAACTGGCATGCACAAGTCATTAGTGTGAGCAAAAAGGTGACTGGATCGCTGCGGGCTCTTTATCGCGTTAAAAACTTGCTTCCGTCCGACACCAAGTCAATGCTGGTGCAGGCCCTGTTGTTCCCTATTATAGATTATGCTGATGTGTGTTATTATGACCTGAATGCAGATCTCCTCAATAAACTTGACCAACTTCTGAATAACTGCATTCGATTCGTTTTCAACCTGCGTAGATATGATCATGTTTCTGCATACCGATTGCAACTAAAATGGTTGCCCATACGACAGCGCAGGGAACTAAGGGCACTAACCACTATTTTCTCTGTTCTTGACTCGCCTCATTCGTCTCATTATCTGTTCTTTCACTTCCAATATACATGCGCAAACCACAGCAAATATCTTCGCTCTTCTAATAATCGCCTCCTCCAATGTCCAACACATCTTACTAAATTTCTTCATTCCTCCTTTTTTGTTCAGTCTATTCTTCTGTGGAATGCGCTCCCTCCCGATATCAGGATGGTGCCCAGTCGTTTGTCATTCAAGCGGAAGGTTCGGGAGCTACTGTTGAAGAGATTGGCAGAGTCGTAACTATCAATATACTGTGTATAGTTATGTTACGTCTAAGTAGTATATGTAATATAATTGTGTAAGTTTATTAGTCCTAAATACGCTTGCTTCTTGCACCGACCATTGTTTTTGTCTCTGCATCACCCAAAGGTCCGGCTGGAGGAGAATGCCCTAGGCATTAAGCTCGCCTTGTACATGAGTTTGTGCATGAAGTCTTTTAAAGTTAAAAAATTAAAAATTTATATATTTTGAAAAATTAGCTTGCCTCACGCGGTAATCGAACCAACTAAAATCTGCTAAAGTTTGCACTCTATAGTTTTATTGCATCGATCGTTCATTGTTTTCCTTTCATTAAATTTATGAAGTTTGTTAGAGAGATTTCATTTTTATTGACCCTAACAATCGATGCAATAAATGTACAGGGTGCAACTTTTACAAATTTTAGTCGGTTCGATTACCGTGTGCGGCAAGAGAATTTTAAAAATCTTTGAATACAGTTTTATTACTTTTTAAAAATTGTACAAAGTACATGAATTTGTATAATTGCAATTTTACTCTATGCGCATTCAACGCTTTACTTATTAGACCAGTTCGCGATTGACCGTACAAGTGTGCACACAAGTCATTTTAATATCAAGTGTTGTTTTAATAAATTTCTATATTTCAACAAGTTTTATTTATCAAGATTATCAGTAATCAAGACAAGAGCATCAAGCTCCAACAAAAATAAAGAAAAGTTGTCTTTAAATAAAATTTTCTATCGTAAGTATTAAGAGTACTTTCCTTTCAGGTGGAATTACAAAATTCCACCCTGTATATTAGGTCTTGTGCAATGGTCTAAAATTATAACCAAAAATCATGCGATCGTGGTCGCGTCATTCTGTCGAACGGTCGATGGCACGCGAGTCAGCGCCGAGCCGTTCCCCTCTACTTGATGATGCATGCGTATATGGGAGAAGTTAATGTGTGCATTAACATTACAAACGAAAATATCATTATAGACACCGCATGGCGTCGCGGAGAACCTAACAGGTTACCGGGGCTCCGGCTCGACGTGCAGGAGAAGGAACGGGGTGGTTTTTAGTCAGTAAGAGTCTGACACTCCCTCCCGCCTCACCCAGGCGGGAGCAGTCATTCGATGATATTCCCCCCTTAAAAAAAAAAGACACCGCATGGCACTCCACTATACTTGGAATTTTAATTCGATTCCAGATTTGACAATTTCAGTGTTGCAACGTTATGACAAGTACTAAATAGTGACGTTGCGAAATTATTCGATATGGAAATGCAATATTTCTGGATCGATTCTTCTCGTTTATAATTTTACTCTCGTAAACTAAGGATATCAGGAAATTAAATATTTCTGACCGATAATTTAGTTTTGACGATTACTTAAAGATCTGAGACTTTTCTTTTATAATTGTATGTGAAATAACTAAAAAAAATGTAATCATGAAGGAACATGACAAATAAAACAGATAGATGTATTATGGTAATAAGTTATTTTATAAATTGTCGCCGTCATCGCTATCCCTATCCTGTCACTTTCTGTAACATTTATTATAAAACACACACACTGATTGTTTATCGATTTTTGTGTGCATCACTACACTATTATATGTGGTATCATTATTTCACAAAATGACAGTAGCTATTGTCAAATCTGGAATCTAATTAAAATTCTGACTATAGATCCTTTAGTCACCAGTCATTTTTACAATAACTATCGTGAGACAAAAATCGCAGGTAACTCATGAATATACTGAAAAAATCTCTACTCGTTTCGAACTACAGAGGGACTCTTACTACTCTGTAGGCTGCGCGACATCGCCGGGACCCCGCACGCTGCTCATTAGGAAGAACTCCTCTGATAAATTACTCTAGTAATTACGTGATAGATAAAGAGTTTGTTTGTTTGCCTGAACGTGTTAATATCCGGAACTACTGGTCTAATTTGAATAATTATTTTTTTGATGGATAGTGTAGTTATCGTGCAGATAGTGCAGTCAGGAAGGCTATAGGGTATAAAACATAACACTATGATTAATAGGAGCGAAGCAGGGAGTAATAACCGCGCGTGAATGGGTAGTGAACTATAAGGCCTCCTCTACATTTGTGCCCAGCTATATGCTGAGTTGGTACCCATTCGGGTTGGGCATGTCCGCCAACACCGCGCAGTATATTGCGCCTGTATTATTAGCTTGTTTTAGTTTTATAATTTACCTATTATCTTCTTTTTCTGTCTGTTTTTAAACCATTTTATTATATTTGTCATAATGTATAAGTTTCTTTTTCTTGGCGTGCATGTCTTATCCCGAATAAACGCATTTCATTTCATTACATTTTTTTCATTCATTACATAAGAGACTTTGATAAAATCTCCACGCTTGGGTTGAAGATCGTAGATTAAAAGGTTCAGGTTTATTAGATAGTATATACCGGTGTTAAGAACCACGCAATTTAAAGACTTATAGCACTGACGTTAAGGTCTACAGCGGTGCAGACGTAGGTCCATTCCCGGGGCGCGCGTGGCGCGGGCTGGTCGTCCTCGGCGCCCACGGCCGTCTTTATAGAGTTGAACACTCCCGTCACTGTGCGCTGGAACAATCTGCGACAGAATATACAAACTTACTGTAGGGATTGTAAGTCCTTACATTGTTGTTTGTTAATTTATGTTGTACTGTTGAATGTTATTAATGTTAAATGAGTAGATGACCAATCTATTAGACAGTTTTATTGCTACTGAATTGAATTAATTAATAAGATTACAAGGGAATGGAGCCCATCCCCATCGCCCCCACTTAAGAAGTTGAATCAAATAAGGGTCAACCAGTGAGGAATAACTAATTTAAATATGTAAATATACAAAAGTTTCGTATCAGAAATAACCTTTCGAGATTAGAAATAGAATATGATGATGAGACAAGAGAAAAATAACGTATTTTTTAAATGAAAAAAAAAAACGGAAATAAAACAACGTTTAGAAGAACATGTTTGATTTGTGTTTTAATAGGGGTTACCGTATTTCTGCTCACAACTTAAATGGTACAAATGTAGGAAGACTGAAAAGGTATTTTTATCCAATCACGTTCAATGGCGTGACACTAGCTAATTCCCTATTGGACGAAGAACGATTATACTAGTGCCATCTATTGAGGAAAATACGGTATGTGTATGTATCTTACTTGTCAAGTCGCTGCATATTGTTGGACGTCTGTCCCGGGGACGAGTTGCGCTCCATATTCATATCGTACTCATCTGAAATAACACAACCATTATACATGTTGCGGATAGTGAGAGTGGAGATGGTGATGATAGTGAGAGTGGAGATGGTGATGATAGTGAAAGTGGAGATGGTGATGATAGTGAAAGTGGAGATGGTGATGATAGTGAAAGTGGAGATGGTGATGATAGTGAAAGTGGAGATGGTAATGATAGTGAGAGTGGAGATGGTGATGACAGTGCAATGGTGTTGAAACGATGTAGAAAGTGTAAGTGTCCAATAGAGCAGACCGGCGAGCGTGGCGGTGTCGACGTGCGCGCCGGGCGCGGGCGGGGCGCGCTGCGTGCGGCCGCGGGTCTCCGCCGCACTCTCCCACCACACCTCCTCCGTCCTGGGGGACCAAACTTGTACTTTTACATGTCACTTAATAGTTGGCGACAGCCAAAACGTTATTAAGTGTCACCAATCTTAACTTAGGGGTTCATTAATTTTTAAGAGAGAATGGTGAATACGTCTTCTCTACAAAAACCTATGTTTAAAGTAGAACGCACTTGTTACTCCTCTAGTCTTGTGGGTGGCCATGGGCGACGCCGATTGCTTATCATCAGGTGGTCCATCTGCTCGTTTACCGACAAATAAGTACAAAAAAAATTGCTTTTTCTGAAAGATCTCAGACACGATTCAAAAATTCTTATCCACTGACTTGGGGCTGGTTTCAGCTCTTTGCTGCAGCAGACATCGTAGCTTCGCGATGCTGGTGGAGAGGTCGGCCGCCTCCTCGTACTCCGGCTCGGGGGAGTCGGGGACCGGCGCCAGGGGGAGTTCCGGTAACGGAACCGGACGGGGCTGCGACGGCTGCGGGGACGTGACATTTAAATATAGAGAATTTTTGTTAGTTATTATTGCAACGCAAAAATAAGAAACGTTAATTTTTCATAGAAATTTTATAGAGCATTACCGACACCATAGAAATTTTAAGTGTAGGAGAGCCATGCTTCGGCACGAATGGGCCGGCTCGACCGGAGTGATCCTACGGCCAAGCAAAAAACCAACGTGAAACAACGCTTGCGTTGTGTTTCGTCGTGTGAGTGAGGTTACTGGAGGCCCGATTGCCCCCCCCCCCCTCTCTAGTCTCCCGAATTCCCACAATCCTCCACAATCCTCAAATTCCCAATTCCCAAGAGGCCGGTAACGCATTTGTAACGCTTTGGTGTTTCGTGTGCACATGGGCGGCGCCGATTGCTTACCATCACGTGATCCGTCTGCTCGTTTACCGCCTTATGCTATGTAATGAATAATGATATCACTGACCACGCTGTCCTGCGAAGTGACTCGGTGCTGCTTCACCAATGGAGGCACGTTGTTCTCATCTGGAAACATTTTTTTTTATTTTCAGCTCCTGTCACATGGCAAAAGGTTCCTCTCTGCGTTAAGCTTTCTGCGGCCTTTCCCTTTCAACAGTAATATCTTTGTCATATATTACATACTGTTTTATATTACTTTATTTCAATCGACTTTCATCTTTATCGTTTTGTAATAAAGTTGATAATTTATTAATGCAGCAGAATGGTATGACTTATACTTCAGTAGTAATATGGTACAGTGCGAAAGTGTTACCTCTCTGCCCATTGCCATGGTCCTTATGTTCTACAACATGTTTGCTGCGTGACTCCGGAGGGGAAGCCTTGTCGCCGGGACGCTCGCGGTGATGGGAGGGAGACTTATCCTGTAATATATATTGTAGGTGTGGAATAAAGTGGAATTTACTTTTAAATAATAAATTAGATAGTACAACAAACTGTCTTTTAATGATGCCCACAGAGTAGTGTTGCCAGCTTAACAAGAAAGAAGGCGTGCAATTTTCATAGAGTACTCGAGTTCATAAAATACAGTACTAAACATAGACAAGTAATATCTCGACATGTATAATTACTAAATTTTAAAAAGTTAATCCGTTAGTTGGGCTCTAACAATCCTCCCTTCAGCAAACAAAATTTCTGGGTAATGAACTATTAAACAGGAGCTACTCAACTTAAAACTACTGAATTCAAAACACTAACCGAATCGTCGCTGAGGCCAGTGAAACGCAGTCCCTTCTTCAGACCAGCTATACCAAAGTCCAGGAGACCTTCCATCATGCCGGCTGCCTCATCCTATATCAGGACAAATCGATATAAGTATTAAAATATAAATATGTCCCCAAGTTCTATCCAATAACAACATTATCACTTTACATCAGTAGCCTTTTACCAAATAGAATAGTAGGTAGGGGCATTATAGTTAATATTAAAACATAGTATATAGATAGTACATAGAAACTTAAGAGACATTTTCAAGTAAATAAATATTATCTATCCAGAAAATTTTTCACAAGAAAAGTCAGGACAATTTATTAAAATGGTTTAGCAGTCCGAGAAAACTAGAGCTAGAAAACTAGAAAGTTTGATAGAAAACGTTTTCACCATCCTCCCCTTTAAAGAACTCCTAAGCTAAGATAGGTTGAGGCAGCGAAGCGCTGCCTCCTTACAACTCAACTGTCACGAAGGATAATCCGGGCGTCGGGTATCGCGGGACGATCTCCGGCCACCGTAAGCGCGGGCCTGCGACTGCGAGCATGGGTAGCTCGCCACCCGACCAGAACCAGACCCGAGCTCAAAGAGCTATCAGACCACCGGATGGGGCTCAAAATGGCTAATGCCGGAACCGTGGAGAACGTAAAAGGTTACCGGGGCTCCGGCTCGAAGTGCAGCAGTAGAAACGGGGTGGATTTTAGTCAATAAGGGTCTGACACTCCCTCCTGCCACACCCGGGCGAGAGAAATCATTCAATGATTTTACCCCTATAAAGAAAACGCTAAGATAGGTGATATTTAATAACATTTTGGTTTCACCAACCTTAAGTAGTACCTAACAGTACAAGTAAGGGGTTAGTTTAGGTGCTACGTGTCACTAAGTACCTAACTTTTAGTTAAGATACGGTTAAGGGATGGTTGGTGAAAACGACCATCAGAGCTACTGCCGTCACACGACTTCTCTCGGAATGCTACACCTTATAGTACCACAGTACGGTCACACACAACAATTTTATTGAGAATCAAATTAAGGCAGAAATACATTACCGTGGCGAAGCGTATCGGAAAGCCGAATACTTTGGCGACCCATATAACACGACACAACGTAGAAGTATCTATCTCTAACCATAGTAAATGTATGAAACCAGAGCCGTTTTATCTCTAGGGCAAGTGCCTAGGGCGCCAGATACAGGTGGTGCCGCGAGAAGCTTGTACATAACTGCCCATAGAGTGGCGGCGGCTTCAAGAAAATAGGGGCGCCTATCAGGTGCTTGCTGAGGGCGCTCTCTAGGTTTACACCGCCTCTATATGAAACCGATTTGCTTCTGGCCAGTCCTGGCGCCCCTCGCCACGCCACGATAAAGTATCTCTGCTTTAACACTTGTCTACTCAAGTACCCGTGCAATGACTTACATGCTCGTCACTTCACATGCATAACCAAACCCGATTTGAGTGTCCAATGCGGGTTTGTCTTGTGTTCATGCGATCTAACCGTTACTGCGTTTAGCCCTCTGATAGGTTGGTTAAGTTGTAGCAGCCAATCAGAGCGTCGAACGTCATAAACGTGTCGATCGAGTTAACGTAAAACAAACTCGAACTAATAACTCTTAGTATCAATAACCGAATTCAATAGAAAATCTTTGAATTAAAATTGATTTTTGATATTAGCCTTACCTACTAATGAAATTTCTGTAAAGAATCTCGATTGATCAGAGATTTTAGATTTAATTCGGTTATTAATTTCGGCCGAACATAAAGACGAAAAACAGGATGATTGCAAATATACTACATTCATATCCTAGTATGGGAGTCAAGTTGAACATTTGGAGCGAATCAAAGCTCACTCTTGGTTACTTTTGAGTTATCCAACATAAGAATTTTACGAACAACCGCAAATTTTAAAATAAAATCAACCACTGAATTACAAGTAGACAATATTGAATTTGTGCGCTACTTTAAATCCAGAAACGTATAACGTTATTTTCAATCACCCTGTGGTTTAATCAACACCAATTATAAGAACAAATGACATTGGGACTCAAGAACAATACTCAACAAAAATTATTCCATCGCTAGACAAAGAAACCATTATTATTGTAGTGCCATCTCTCTCACTAGAACAATTCTGGCTCTAAACACTTTCACACACACCAGTTAACGAAAAATAGACCTTATTGTTAAGAGATAACATTGAAAGTCAAGTATCACAGACATGCGATAGGTTGGAAGACAGTTAGGGCAGTCAAAGCACATGTAACCTGAGCTTATGTGGCGCTCGATCCAATGGTCGCACCTGTCTATAAATTTCGTAAAAAATTTTAATACTTTTTGCCAAAAACACTTAAATTTTTGCACTTACATCTGAATATTAAAAATTTAAAATATAATGTATGATAAAAAAAATAGCATAAAAGAGAATCGGAGGAATTATTTATCATAAAAACCCTTTAAAAATGAAAACAAAAGCCATTACGGTGTGATGCGGTTACCAGAAAAAAAATTATAGGATCAGTGCGCACAGAAAAAAATTCAAAAACATTGTTTTCATTATCATGTTTTTTTTATCATGTCCCCAGCGGCCCAAATACAGAAAGCAATAAGCAGAAAGATCGTGCAAACAACATACACTGGAGTTTTGCTTGCAGGGCACATCTAAGCCAACTTTGTGCTCCACCTGTAGATCCCCAATCTTGGTCTTGGCTTCCCTCACGGTAGACTGCAGGTCCTTCAGTAAGGCATCTGCTGGCTTCGGACTCTGCTCCTTCTTGCTTTCTTTAAATGAGTTCGAGTCTAAAGGGTCTACTTCTATTGTTTCTTCTTCACCTAGAAAATTTATCATGTAACTAAACATTTCATAATTTGAACTTTCGTATATACAAAATGAAGAATAATGGTTCAAAAGTCGGATTTAACAGTGTATGGCATGCTCTAAAATACTTGAAAAAGGTCCTTGTTATTCTTGTTTTTTTTTTAAAAAAAACATTGCCCCACCCTTGTATTTTCTCTTGTGTCGTAAGTGCGTTTACAAACATATAACATACAATCTGTGGATCACACAAAAAGTTGTTCCGTGCGGGAATCGAACCCGTGATACGTTGCGAGGTAGCCAGTTGCCCAACCACCGCGCTAACCGTGCAGGTCCAAATGACATCGTACTTAGGGTGCATTATTGCTTACCATCAGACAGGCCAAACGCTGACCCAGGTCCGATACAAAGAATTAGAAGTTAAAGAATGCTTATACTCTTACCAAACCAAAGTGGTTGTGGCGACTTGCTCCGTGGTGGGTTGGGGCTGCCTTCAGTGTCGGCGTCCTGTCCCCAGAGCCGGCTCAGCGTGATCTCTCCGTCCAGGCTCGCTAGCAGGTCCTGTCCGAGGCTGATACACTGCAGGTCTATGTCCGTCTCCCAGGTTTTTACGCTACCTACATGATATACTGAGAGTTCGTCACATACTTTTTATATCTTACTAACTACTCAGGTAGTGGTTGTTAGAAATGTCGAACAATGAGTTCCAGTTAAAACTGTAGTGAGACATACTAAATTAATTATTATTTTTATTATGGCGAGTGGCAGCGCGACGGTCGCCGCGTGGCGTGTCGCGCAATGCTGCTCATGAATATGAGCCTCTACCATAGTTTAAAATTAGTCGGAATCCTCGTCACACAGTTAAGTGATAAGCCAAAAACATAATAATTAACTCGTCGAGTACCGGTTTTGCAGACACAATTATAGAACAATAGGTTGCGGTCACCGGTGACCGCTTGGTATTTGACAGTTTAATGAGTTTCAGGATCAATTTTAGGTTGGTAAAGCACATAGCTTTTCGAAATGTCCTAAAACCTGGAGTCCACAAATAAGCTCTATTATATTTATATGCATAACAATATGAATCAAAATCTAACCTTCAATAATTCTATCGTAGATCTTGACTTCATTCCTGCCTTGCCTACCTCTCCGCTGTCTCAAAATCGGTGAAGCCTTTATATCAACGGGTTCGGAACTGGTCACCGGTACTTCTTCAACTATGTTCTCTATCTTTTCCACCTCCATCTTCTCCTTCACAATATCAGGGATACACTGGGGCACTGTTACGGTAGCTTTCGTAACCACTACTGGTGTTTCTTTCTCTACACTTATTGGTTCCTTATTAGTTTGAATAACACTTGGTTCTGGTATAACTGGTTCTTTTTTCTCTTCGGTTACTACGGATTTCTGTTTTCCTTTCAAAATTGTCAGTAGTTTCTCGTTCAACCAAGCAGGATCTGCTAATGTAGTGTCGATGAAAGTGTGAAGTTTCTTTGATAGGATGCGGATGAGTAATTCAGAATGCGGAGTGTCCCACAGTTCCCATGGCACTAATTCTTTGAAAATAACACGAAGGAGGTTCGTGCAATGGTCAGCTGGTTGCATTTTGTTATTTACATCAAATATTCGATGAGTTTTCTTGTATAGTGCCTCTACAGTACTATCTGGAGTTTTTTCCTTCCGTTTCAAGGCTTTCTGATATTCTTTCAAGTGGCTTGACAATACAGTTGTTATATCTACAAATACATCTTTGGTTTCTATCTTGTTGCATATCTGTAAATTTTTATTTGTTTGATAAGTAAAATTTATTCATTTATTTCCTTAATAATTTAATTTCAACAAGGGAAGGAAGAATGTCTATCAATCAAATAATTAAATAAACAATAATGCATCAAAACTACAAACCTGAAAGCTCTTGCCAATCATTTGATCTAACATTTGTTTGCAAGCGAATGGGAAGCCAATCTCTTGCGAGATATATGGCACGTACCATGACGAAACCAGCTTCCTCTCCAGCACCGTCGAGATGACGCTCAATTCATTCGTATCGTACTCATGAATCTCAGACACTACTTTCCTTGGCCGAGGTAGCAGTTTCGATAGCAACGACAAGTAAGGATAATCCGCCACAATACCATCAAGATCATATTTTATTGGCTTGTTCAAACGCAACAACCACTGAATAAACTTAAAACTTACGCATAATGATACTATAAATAACGTTATAATGTAAAGAGGAAACCATATTCCTGTTATTGGTGAAATATTCGTAATGTAGTTCAGTAGGACACAGATAAATGTTCCCGCGCACGATACAATTGTTGTGCATTCTAGTAAGTTTCTCTTTAGTAACATTTTTCTTGACTATTTTCTATTTAATAAATAAAATTAAAACATTATTTTTAATCGATCTAATAGTGTTTTGCAACTTTTAAGTTTCGTTGACGGATTGACATTGACAGCTTGATGACATTGATTTGTTTCGAAAACATGCCAAACATGGCCAAACAGCAAGAACAGCTGAGAACCCTGAGGCTGAGCTTATGTCATATTGGAAAATAACCGAGATGATTCTTATAATATATATTAAAAATAATATGTGATTATGTAAAATGATAGCTTTAATAAAAGAATTTTTCATGTACTCTTAAAAAAAGTTATGCAAGATATGACAATGACATTCTATTATTTTACTGAAATTCCTTCAAGAATGTATCCGAATTTCTTATGTAAATGATTGATTGACATTTAAAAACGTGTATACGTCAAAGGTAAACGTCACTTTTATTTCGTGTGTTGCTCGAAGTTGCGAAAATATTGAGAATATTTTTTTCTAAACTACAGTTGATAATTCTAGAATAATGTAAGTGCAAAATATATTCATCCTTTCTCTATTTTACATGTTGTAAAACATTACAAGTGTTTAACTCAAATATTATTTGTTTCTTCAGGTCGAAAGTAACTTTCAAGATTACTCTAACTTCTGACCCAAAACTGCCGTTTAAAGTGTAAGTTCTAGTTTTATTACAAGTAATATCAACTCCTGTAACTTCAACGTAGACCATGTCTGTCAAATTAGTCCACCTCCATGTTTAAATTCTAGTCAACTGTAGTTTGTTAATTTCAACAGATGCTGAATGGTCCAGGGTACTGCGTTGAAGTTACAGGGGTTTAAAATGGACACTGCTGTAGTAGAACAGTTCCTCAACTTCTTCCAAGACTACATTGGCCTGTGTCAATGTGAGAACTGGCCTGACAATGACACAACAGAGACTGAAATAAGGAATGCCTTTCTCATAGCACAACATGTTGAGAAAAGTCTAGATAGACTGCAAAAGAAGACAGTGATCAGTGAATTCTTATCTGTGTTAAATACTCACAATGAGGCGTCAAGCAATCTCATAAAAAACTGTTTAAATGACCCACCGAAGTACATTTTAAATAAGATAATTAATTCTAACACAAGGATAACTCAAATGGACACTGGCTTTAGAATATTTCTCGAGTTGTTTTCTGAGGAAAAGTTAGAAAATTATTTAACTGAGTTGATGCTTGAGGCAGCCTCTAAAGAAACTTTATTGAGAAATGTCACAAATAAACTACCTCGGGATAAAATACTAGAATTTAAAAGCAAAGTACTGTTGTCACAACTTAAATCAAGTGAGACTGATGTTGTAAAGTTATTGATGAACTGCTCCCAAGACTTGGTAGACGTGTTAGTAGTGAGTTTGTTGAATAATGAGTTGCAGTATGGTCAGGCAGTACAATTGATAGCCAATGGTATCCACGAGATTGTGCTACTTAAGGACAGTGCTTCTAAAACATTTTGGAAATTCCTCTTTAAAGTTGAAGACAGATATTTTACTGAGATGTGTATTGAAAATTCTGACATATTTATTTACATAGTAGAAGCTTTGACAGACTGCAGTAAATTGTTGAGAGAAGGCATGTCCGCTGACTCATTTTACATAGAATTAAGTCATTCCGAGTTAGTTGGTGTTGTACAAAAAATATGTAGTAAAGAATGTTTAAAATCACTATTTCTTGATACCATAAAGAATTATGATAATGATTTGAATTACTGGGAGGCAATGTTGTGAATTGAATATAATTATTACTTTTTTAATATTTGTTTTTTTTTTATTGTTTGCTTTTGCATGTTAGAATTAATCTAGCAATTTGTAGATTACTGGTCATAGTTGAAATCTACTTATAAGAAGAAGATTTTACTAAAAGCAGTTACCCTTTCTAAAATCCTTTCGTCTTATTGGAATCCTCCGGACTTTATTGTGTCCATAAGAGACAGAGAGACCAACACATCAGCATAGTAATTTTATAAAATAGATTTTAGAATTAGATTTATAGAATTTATTCCAAAACCAAAAATATTACATTTCAAATGGTAGGTTGCCTGCAGAGAGCAGAACATGTCTAAAATTTTTTCATTATCTTACTGACGGGCTAATAGATTTTTAATTTTCATACCCTGGCCTGGCAACTACCTTATTAAGTAGAAAATCAATTATATTTAACGACTTATCTATACTTACCTGTTTGACAAGGTGGCATTACTATCTATGTATACTTGTAATAGATTGAGCGTGCCCGAAGCGACTCCATTCACGGCGGTTCTGAAGTTCGCGGCTGAAGAGTTCCGCGTGGAGCCAGCCACCAGCGCCATCATCACTGACGATGGTATCGGCATCAACCCTCAGCAGACCGCAGGTATCTTTGACTGATTACTCAAAATGTTGGACAAAGCCAAGGTTTTAGCGAAAAATTAATTTATTCTCTTCATCATCATCAGGGGTAGACTGAGGTTCATAAATTCAATATACCTAACTCATTGCTACTTCTCTACATTTAGTTTACTAGCCCCATGTCAAAAGAAGTTAGCCTCATACAATTGTCGCGGAGAACCTAACCGGGTTACCGGGGCTCCAGCTCAAAGTGCAGACGTAGGAACGGGGTGGTTTTTAGTCAGTAAGACTCTGACACTCCCTCCCGCCCCACCCAGGCGAGAGCAGTCATTCGATGATTTCCCCCCCTTAAAAAAAGCCTCATACTATTAAGTCTCAGTTGCCATTCAAGAAGAAATAGAAAGTAATTAATTGTTATGATTAAATATTTCAAGATAACAGCATTATAACACTGTTAATTTGTCATTTCGAAATAAGTATTGAATTTGACTATAATAGGACTAAGGGCTCCGCCTTTGTTCAGCCTCATGGCTGAAGAAATTCATATGTCTTGTGGCTGTTGATGATGATGAGAGTTAATCCAAAATAAATCTCTGGTATGTTGTACAAATTGAATTTGTTCGACTTGTTTCAGGCAATGTGTTCCTGAAGCACGGCTCAGAGCTCCGACTGATCCCCAGGGACCGAGTGGGGCAGACTGCTACATAGACGACATTCCGCTGTTAATTTAAGTTACAACTTATATACATAATATATTAAATATATTCGCTTTATGTTAAATGTGATTAAAATTAAATGATTTTTTACGTGTATTTGCTGTGTTATGATCATATTATGATGATACCCCATTCTCGTGACAAGGATTAATTTTCACTTGTATCGGTTTCAACTACCTACATTATAAGATTGGTGTAAATGCATTTGAATACTTAATTATATCTCTAGAATTAATACAATCATGAATAGATTATTGTCAACCTTGTTGTTTGGTAACAAAACTGAATATTTATAAAAACTTTTTATGTAGATTTACATGTTGGTATTTCTCGTTTTTACTGGAGGTCAGCATAATCTTTATTCCATTATAACATTCTATCAAATAATATTAAACTGTCAAACACCAAGCGGTCACCGGTGACCGCAACCTATTGTTCTATAATTGTGTCTATAATGACGGTACTCGACGAGTTAAATCACTTTTTTTTTCATAAAAAGTAAAAATGATTGGGAGGAGGGTAGGGAGGCCTTTGCCCTGCAGTGGGATGACCATGGCCAACTATAAATAAATATAAAATCAATTGATCTTTTCTTATCTGTGGTCGTCTTCCTTTCTAAGCCTTTTGAAATAATACAAGGAAATAAAACTTTGGGTCAATTTTATTATGCTTAGAACTAATGGAAAGTAATATACAAAAGAAGGAAAGCGCTTATACAATTAATCTAGTCTTAAAAGTGGTTCCGCAGCTCGCAGGAATGATTTCTCGAATTCTTTCTCTGAGAATCTGTCCACTGATGCTCTGAAACAAAATAATTATTTGTAGGCAAATCTTAACATTCAGTTCGGTTCCCTAACGACTCAGATAGGCCAGTTGTGACATGACCTCATTAAAAAAAATATATTTTAAAATCCAACTTTGTAATTGACTGTTCAAAAGACCAAAATAGCATGGACAGAATAGTAGACATCACATTTGAGATTTTTAATCTACTCTAAGGCCTTAATCAGCTATAATTATTATACTAGAGCTACAGAATCGATTACAAGTGGGAAAAAGTTACCTAGCAGCCTCTACAATAGCCTTCTTCTCATGCGCCGGCAGTGCGATGACCTCTAGTATGGCGCGCGCGTACTCGTCAGGCTCGGCCGCCAGGAACCCCGTGCGGGAACCTGACGATGTCTCTATTATGTCCGCCAGGGGACCGCCGGACCGGTGAGCTATTGTGATTAATCCCGCTGCCAGACATTCCACTACACCTGGAGAAAGATAATTGTTATGAATGATTTTAGAAGTTACTGGTACTTTTACTGATGAAAAGGATAAGAATTGTAGTCTTCTGTTTGTTTTAAAGGTTATTTTTAGTGAGTTTAAGTTCATTGACTGATTAAGTCATTGATCTTGCATCAAGATCAAAAATCCGAACATTTTTACGCTGTGGTTTTCTCTAAGCTAGGTTGTAAGAAGATCGCAGAGAGTTTAAAAAACAATGCAACTATACTAACTGATTCCAAAATGCTCATTCCACATGGCATGTATCGCCAGGCTGCAGGTCTGGTATAGCTGTAACAGCCTGGCGTAGGGCGCGTTCACCACAAACTGTACAGACTCCTCCAAGGACAGGTGCTTCGCCAGGTCCTTCAAGTTCTGGACACGTTCCTCATCTTCAGCGTTGCGGCACGATCCTACTAATACTAGTTTTATCTGGAAAGTATATTATTTAAGATTTATATTTTTTATGAGATAGACAGGCAAATGAACCGACAGATTTCCTGATGGTACGCAACCGGCACCGTCTATGGACACCAGCAACACCAGCAGAAGTTAAAAGTGCGTTGCTGGTCTTTTGAGGGTAAGGAATAAGAAGATTGTGAGACTACGGGCGGGGTTGAGGATGGGAAGGGGGAAGAGGATCGAACCTGCGCAAATTATAAAGTTAAAGAAGTTGTTTCTTTGAGTTTAACCGGAACTAGGTACTAGTTAAAATACTGACATGAAGAGGTATTACTAAAGCCTATTTACCAAAAATCATTATCACTTCATTTAATGTAAGTCGTTTATAGAAACTTGATTTGCTAATGCAAAAAATTATCTACCAACAATTCCATAGTTACCTTATTCCAGAGCATTTCGTTCTTGACAAGCAAGTTCCTTAGTTCGTACATAGCTTGCAACATCAGCGGGTGATCCTTCTCTGGCCGGAATTGGGCCACGGAGAGGATGCGAATAGGATCCGTGTCTTTTACTAAAGACCTTAGTTGTTTCAGCTCTGATACCTATAAATTAAAAAAAAACGTAATTTATATTAGAACTAGCTGTGCGACTTCGTCCGCGTGGAATAGTGATTCACAGCTCCTCCCCCGTAGGTGATCGCGTGATAATATGTAGCTTGAATGTCGCCCCGACCTGTTAGTAACATTCATGCAAAATTTGAAGTAAATCCATGCAGCACTTTTTGAGTTCATCCCGGACATACATACAGACAAACAGACAAAAATTATAAAAACCATATTTTTAGCTTCGGTATCACGTGTAGATCACGCCCCAAGCATTTTTAAAAAAAATATTCAATGTACAGTTATCACTCTCCTACGATTTTATTATATGTACATACCTATAGATTTTTTTCTGACCAAGTCCTATATCTTATCTTATACTATTATATAAAGCTGAAGAGTATGTTTGTTTGAACGCGCTAATCTCAGTAACTACTGCTCCGGTTTGAAAAAATATTTTTAGTGTTGTATAGTGCATTTATCAAGGAAGGTTATAGGCTAAAAAAACGACCACGCTACCATCAATAGGAACCGAGTACAGCGGGTGCAACCGCGCGGACGTAGCTAGTGAAATATAAAGGGGTCCATTTTTAAGGCTATGGATGAATCCACCGCTGGATTATGGGCCCTTGACATTAGGGAGCTTGCAGTAATCTCCACGTTTGGTAGACAGGATGGCGGTCGCAGTTTCAAAGGTTCAGGTTTATCAGGAAGAGCTGCTCCTGGGTTTGTTAAATATGTTATCCCTTATAATCGGCTCTTACGACGAACAAAGTTAGTCAGTTAAAAAAGTAGGGATTATTCTGTACTAGCTGTTGCCCGCGATTTCATCCGCGTAGATTACGATTCCTATTTTATCCCATGGGAACATTGAATCGGGATAAAAATATCCTATCACCTAAGTCAGCCCAAACCCCGCCTGTATACCAAATTTCATCAAAATCCGTTCAGTAGTTTCAGCGTAATCGACGAACCAACACCCAAACAAATAATCTTTCACATTTATAATATTAATAATGTGATATTTTGTTTATCCACCTACATTTTGTAATAATAAGTGAACCAGATAAATACAGCGGTACTATTAACTCATAACTTAAAAGCAAATAGTTGTAGTTATCGTACATTAAGTACGTTTCCTTATAAATGTGTTGAACACCGATAATAATAATAATATCAATCAGATAAGATAGCAATGTTTTACTCACACGGATATGAGCAATCGATATTGATCAAATTAAATACTAAAGTTTTGAGCACTTAGCTCTAAACAAGGATTTCGTATACCCAACAGTCCCACCACTACCTTCTCTTCCCACGGGTTTTGTTAGTCGACAAAGGGACGATGTAGGTATTTAACAGAGCCCAGTCTACCGTATTCTTTGATAAAAACTTGATCCTTTTAGACTACACCGTCGTTGCCGTCTTTACTGTTTAATTTTTTATGTGTTATTGTACTTCGTGACAGTGTGCAAATAAACCATGTTTCTTTCTTTCTTTCAATCTGCCTTTCTTTCACGCATGGTCATTAATACTCATTGCCTCTCCGAGTTAGAAGGACTGATAATGATGAAGTTAGGGAGTAATAGTAAGTACCTCACAGGGCGGGTAGACCCTGAAGGTGCTGAGCGGCATGTTCCACAGTTCGTTGATGTGGTCCTCCGTCCACGTGCCGTTGGCCATCACCACGTCCGCGCACCGACCCATCACGCCGTACAACTGGAACCAACAAACTATTATTTAAAGTATTTAACATTAATATAATACATCATCATTAAACTGCCTCCTTGGCCGAGTGGTCACAGGTCTCGGGTTCGATCCCGAGTCCAGCATAGTATTACAGAGTTTTTCACGGCGTCTGGAACTATGCCCGGTATATGGCAACAGGCTCAC